TCGATCTTATCAGTCTGTTGTTTTAAAACTTGTCTTCTATTTTCTCCACCAGGAAAAGCACTGCCAACAGAAATACAATGTTTCCTGTATCATGATTCTTCCCCAGTACCAGCGTAAGGGCTATGGCAGGTTTCTCATCGATTTCAGTAAGGATTATAACATCATTTGTCATTATCTCTTTCTGTGGACATTCTGTGTATATATTTTCGTAGATTTGTAGATGATTCATTGCTTGTTAGTTTAGTATCCTTTGTCATACTACTGTATGGGACTTTAAAATCCTAAAGCCATGAATTTATTTTTCTTTTGGTTGGACATATCTCTAATTGCATTTTAATTTATGAGATCATTTAACTACATATATATGTATTTAAAGATTATTTTAAGGGCATGAAATTTTTTAAATAACTAATATTGAATATCAATTTCTGTATCACCTATAGCAAAAGCCTTTAATTTAAACTTAATTTACAATAGAGCTGCTTTATGCAATAATTCTAACTTATAACAATGCCAGACACATTGTATAACTACTTAAATTAGTATTAAGAATTACAGAACTTGCCCTATTTTTGTTATACAATTATCTGAGTAATAATATTTTATTATTCCTATTATAGTGTGCATTGGTTTATAATTATAGGCACTACCTAGTGGTTAAAAATATGCAATGCACCATAAAAAAATTTTTAAGTAAATAATATGGGAAATAATCTGAGCTAGAAATTGGAAACTAACAGTTCTAAAGAAGTCATTGTAGTATTTGTATTTTCCTTTACACATTGATAAAATTAGAATGTGTAATGTAGTTTGCAATAAGTTTTGTTTATTATAAAATAGTGATATTTGAAGGAATACTTTCCCTTAGTTATTGCTAAAAGTTATAATATTTAAAGAAAGTTATTCAGAAATTCTGGTTCAACCCAAGGATTTTGATAAAGGTAAATATCAGATAATTATATCACCACTGTTAAAAAGTTAATTCTCACATGAACCAGGGAAGCTTTTCTACTTGACCTTAGGCTATAATCTTGACCATATTTTATTGGAAATGTGTGCTATTATTTTATACATTTCTTGACCTTTTTGGATTACTAGCAGAGGAAGGAATTCAGATTGTTTCCTTTATATAGTTGTTTTGAAATAGGACTCATGATTGGACTCAGGCCATCATATAGCAAAGTTGGGAAACTTTAATTATGCTGATTAGTATTTTTTTGAGATATACAAACAACAGTTTGTAAGATTACAGTACTTGTTTTCACTTACCTTTCCCAATAAAATGTATTTTCCCACATTGCCATTCCTATACTGCTTTTAAGTTTCTTTATCTGTTCTTGTTCTTGAGAGTTCTGCACTACACAAGAGGACAAATACCATACTCACAGTGACGCCTTCATGCCGACATTCTTGCTCACCAAGAATTAGAGTAATTGTGAGCATAGTTTTGATTTGAAGTGAGAAATCGTCATCTAATCCCCTCACAGAAGAACCACAATCTTAATAGACAGGATTACATTAAAGATAGGGCATTATTTTGTATTGTTCAGTTCAGATACAGCTGTTGCCATCTAGTGGTCCAAATAAAAGATGCAGGGGTTTTCTGACACTAGTACAGTAAATAAAAAAACATTGTTGCCTTAATCTTAATGCAGCCTGTTAATAAGAAGTTCTGGTTGTAACAGTTTGAATATGTTAGTAATATGAGTTAACTATTGAAAAATAATGCTACCCTAATGTTCAGTGATTAAAAATTACATAATCCCTCTAATTTGTTTTAAAGAAATTTTGTTCTTTTTCTTGAAGGAATTTATTTGAACTTATTATTACCTCTGCATTGTTTGTGTAAGAGGGGATTATTATTTTGGTTAATTAGCCTGTATGTTCTCTGGCATATTTATGATTTGGGGGTTTCTTTAGGTTATTTGTTATCAAAGCGCGAAGGCCAAGCTGGGTCTCCAGAAAAACCATTATCTGATCTTGGTCGCCTTTCCTACATGGCTTATTGGAAAAGTGTAATATTGGAGTGCCTTTACCACCAAAATGACAAGCAAATCAGCATTAAAAAATTAAGTAAATTAACTGGAATCTGCCCTCAAGACATTACTTCCACACTCCACCACTTAAGAATGCTGGACTTCCGTAGTGACCAGTGAGTATCACATCCCTTTGTATAACTTTGAAAGATAACTAGGTAGAAGTTTTTGGATCAGGCAGCCAAGTTATTGATGAAAGGGCATAAACCAATATATGTACTCTTGGCGACTGTTGAAACGTCATGTTCCTTCCTATATAATATTTGATATTATTGACCATATTTATTTTCTCTTACATTGTTTTGTCTGTTGACCATATTCTTTTTTTTTTTTTGAACCTTTTTTTTTTTTTTTTTTTAATAGAGGCATGCTTTATTTATTTGTTTGCTGGTTTGTTTGTTTTGTTTATACATGCACTGGGTACAGTCAGAAGCGCGGGAGGGTGAGAGAATTCACCAGAGCCAGAGCGGGGAGCAGAGCAGGCAGAAGGACCGAAGTACACTGCTGAGGGGAGCAGCGGGCGGCAGGAGAGGTCTGCACGCCATGTGGGACCCTCCTCCGGTGGCCGGGGAGCAGCCGGGGATCGAACCGGCGCCGCAGAGGCCGCGGGCAGCTTCGCAACCCAGCGCTCAACTGCTGCGCCACCGGGGAGGCCCTGACCATATTCTTTTTAATTATTTTTCTGGTCTTCTTAACTTTTGGACCTAAGCTACTGAATCTTTTATTCCTTAGTATTGGGAGCTTCTTTATAAAACAAAAATAACAACTCTAGAAATACTGTCAGATAAAATACACCCACATTAAATTTTCATATAAATGGAATAAAATGAAGTACAGGTGAAAGGAAAGACAGCTTACTCTTATCTAGAGTGTTTGGGAAGAGGAAACTGGAAAAGGAGGCCTTTGAGTGAGATAGATGAAGAATAGGAGATAGAGTGCAGGAGAATAGCAAAGATTCTAGCAGTGGAAAGTATGAGACAATGAGTGATTAAAACAACTTCATCAGTTGTTCTAGTTGGGTTGATGTATTTCTTCAGCTTTGTATTTCTTAGCTGTCTCATGTGGTGACATTTTTCTCTGTTTCATCCTCCTGGACAGGCTATTTTTCAGTCATTTATCATCACCTCCAGGGCTTTCTGGGGGTTTAGCTACATGTTCATTGTTAGCTGTTCCTTCTGTATTGTTGACTGCTATAAACTTTTCTCTGGTTTCAGATTTGTGATTATCCGCCGGGAAAAACTTATCCAGGATCACATGGCAAAGCTTCAGCTGAATTTGCGACCTGTAGATGTAGATCCAGAATGTTTGCGCTGGACTCCTGTCATAGTCTCCAATTCTGTTGTGTCAGAAGAGGAAGAGGAGGAGGCTGAAGAAGGAGAAAATGAAGAGCCGCAGTGCCAGGAAAGAGAACTAGAGACAAGTGTAAGAGTATGGGTAATCTCTGTTTTTGGTACAGGAAGATATATATTTTTTGTTTTCATGAGTATTTGATTTTGATTTTTTATTTTCATGTGACATGCTATATCCTAAACCAACACAGTAATTTCACATGAGGATCTCAGAGTTTTTTTTAATTATGGAAATTTCAGGAACAAAATTGAGTTGTGTTTACTTATTTGTGATTTTAAGTCTGGGATTATTAGAATATCTTTATATTTATTATGTTTCTTATTGCTGAATATTTCTCACCAGGCCAATTAAATTTTTAACTGTATCTTAATTGAAGAATCTGAATTGAATGACTGTTATTAAAAATGCAATTGGATACATTTTCTTTAAAGTAAAACATTAAGGAAATAATATATACGTGTATGGTATCTGGTAACACTAGATAGTTGAATGAACATACAGTGGTGTTAGCCATTAAAAGGTGAAGGAGGGGCTAATTATATAGTTCTCAGCATTTTTTTTCGTGTGATGCATACCTTTCTTTTTTTATTTTTTAAAACAGTGCTGCTTTCATCCTTTAAAATCTACATTGTTTTTATAAACATAAACAAGTGCATGCACTGTGTTTAGTGTAATTTGATTTACAAATTGAAATATTCAGAATAGGAATAAATCAAAATCACAGAAATTTTCTCTCATTTTTTCCAGACACCCCCTTTCCTTATGTCCCAGAGCCCATGTCCTCTCTGTTTATAAGTTTTTACTTCTCAGAAAATTTATAAACTGTCTCATTTATCATTTATAAGAACAATAGTCACTTTTTCAAGATGGTATTACATAGTATTTAAAAGTGCTAGCTAACTCTTAGGTCAGACTGTTGGGGTTTATATCTCAGATTCTTCATTTGCTGTTGCATGACTTGGGCAAGTTACTTAAATTTTGGGGGCCTCAGTCACCTCATTTGTAAAATGACTTTTATAGTAATAATATTTCATAAGTTTATGTAAATGAGGATTAACAGTAATGAATACTTTTTTTAAAAAACGTTGTTTTCTTAGTATTGAAAAGGTCAAATGAAACTGAAAATTAACCAGCATGGTTTTATTTTCTAAAATCAGGTGGGAAAGTCTGCATCTCGGGAAAACAAAGAACAGGATTCTTATTCTTCAGTTGAAAGTGAAAAGAAACCAGAAGTTACGGTGCCAGCCAGTTCTACACGTTTGAACAAACAAGTCCTTCCCTGTGATAGTCTTCCTGTAAATAATCAGCCATCTCGGAGAGGCCGCTGGGGGAGAAAGAACAGAAAAGCCCAGGAACGTTTTGGTGATAAAGATTCTAAACTGCTCTTGGAAGACACATCAACTCCTCAGGAGCAATATGGAGAATGTGAGGAAAAATCAGAAACTTCCCAAGAACAATACGCTGAAAGTGAGGAACAGTTGGCAACCTCTCAGGAACAGCCAAGCCAGGATGGAAAGCCAGACATTCCCAAAAGAAGACTAAGTGAGGGCATTGAGCTATGGCGAGGTCAGCTAAAGAAAAGCCCTGAGACTCTGAAGTGTAGATTACCTGAAGGCAATGATAGACTGCCCCGTCGCTACAGCGATGGTGACAGGGCTCTCCTCAGGAGCTTCAGTGAGAGTAGTGAGGAGGAGGAAGAGCCGGAAAGTCCTCGGTCCAACTCACCACCAATTCTTACAAAGCCCACATTGAAGCGAAAGGTGAGGCATTTTTTCGACATGTCTTTTGTTCCTCCAGTTGCAAGCTTATTGTATACTTTTGTTCCATCCTAGAGTTCTGAAAGAATAAACATAGAAATTTTTATTTTTTTAAACTTTAGTTCATGAGAATTAGCTTAGAAGTCATAAAATCTCACTAACTGTTTTTCAACCTGTTGGTTTGATACTCAAATGATGGCTGTTAGGAATTTTAAATTATTTTGAAAGTATGTTCAGATTTGGAAATGTTCATATTAGAAAAGGAGAAGAAAATACTACACTGTTCAACAGGAAGTGGACATAATAGTCATTTATATTGGCAAGCACAGAGTGAAGCCATTCATCTTATGTTGGAGGAAGTGCTTTCCCTGTACTTTTCTTTTATCTCTTCCTCAGTGGTTTGACTTAACTTTGTTTTAAAAGTATTTTCTAAGTTATATTTTATCATTTTGCATAGTTTGCATGATCTCCAGTTTGTTAATAAATGCTGTGTGATGATGGTAACGAATTCTGTTCAGTTATATACCAGAAATATCACAGACTGTGGATTGAACTTTAAGCCAGCTGGACTGATGTAAGTTGGTGTCCTGGATGGAGCCACCTGTAATAGAGTGGCAACAGCTATCATCCAAAGCAATGAGATCTTTTTTTTCCTTAGCAGGATCTTAAGAAAAAGGGGGAAGGACTATTTACTTTTTAAAAATACACTTTAATTTTAGAACAGTTTTAGATTTACAGAATTATTGCAAAGAAAGTATAGAGTTCCTATATTCTCCATATCTGGTTTTCCCTGTTAAGAGCACAGAGGTTAAGTGCCATTCTGATTATATCATATAAAGAGGACTACTATCTATGAGTGAGAGAGAGAGTGTGTGTGTGTGTGTATACACACACACATATATACACATACACACATATAGCTACACACACACCCCAAGTAGAAGGTTATTTACTATTTGTTAACCTTGATCACTTGACTAGTCATTGTGTTTGTCAGGTTTCTTCACTACAGAGTTAATTTCTGTTTACCTCTTTTCTATACTGTATTCTTTGGAAGGAAGTCACTGTCCACAACCCACAGTTAAGATACAGAGTGTTATATCTTACTCTTTAAGGGCAAATATCTCTATTAATTATAAGGAATTCTGCTTGCGAGACTTGTTACATTCTCCCTATCTATTTATTCAAGTATTTATTTATATCAGTATGGGGTCATCGATATTTACTTTAGATTTTGAGTTATAATCCAGTACTACCACTTTGTTACTAAAATTTTTCCTTTTTTGGCCATTAGGAACTTTGTTTCACTCTTGTATCTCTTTAACATACATACTTGCATCATTGTGAGATTTTTTTTAATTTTTGTTTCTTCCTTACTTTCTGATGCTGTGAGATGTTCCAGGCTCATCTTGTATATTTTCTGGCCCAGTCCTAGAAATCACTCCATTTCTCCGAAGAGTTGGACCATGTCAACCTAGTTTGAAAATTGTATTCTCAACTGAAAACACTAGTAAATATGAAGTGTAGAAAAATTGAACGCTGATTAGCTCCACTATTCATTATGTGACCATGAAGAATATATCTTTGTCATCCTAAGGCTTACCTTGCTTATTTATAAAATAGAGTTATGCTGTTTTCCTATGTTAAAAAAAAAAAAAAGGACTGTTAACACAGGCAGTGAGATCACATACAAAATACTTTTGAAGTTCTTTAAGAAATTCACTTGACCTGGCAACAGAGACTGTATTTATTATTATAACCATTTAGACACTGACTGGAGTGTAACCTTGAGTAAGCTCTGTAACTTCTACATCCCTTACAGAAATGAAGGAATTGGGTTAGATAACCTCTGGTGCATTATCGTTATTGTTTGGTGATATCTATTGTGTTTTAAGGTATAAGGTCAATCCTAGTATAAAATTGTGACTGGTATACCAAATTCCAATAGCAGATTTATTTTACTTTTGAAATGCTTCTTTAACATCAAGTAAATACTATTTGCTCTCTATTTCCATATTCTACTGTAACTATGAATAACTCATGAAAATGGCATATAGCTTTACTGATAGTTCTTCTGACCTTCAGAGTAGAGCTATAAAACAAACAGAAAGTGGCTTTATTCCTTTTTTCTCTTGAGGAAAAGAGAAGTTATAAGGAACCAGTCTCTGCCATTAGAGTACTGAAATAGTCAATCTCCATGGGATGCAAAATTTAACTCAACTATTAATGAGGGAGTTAAAGCATCTGCTCTTTAGACATGCCAATGTTAGGGTCCATGTTTGAGATTTTACAAAGTTGTTTTTAAGTTATTCAACGAACGTCTTTATATCTATGATGGTATCCTACTGTAGTCTTTCGGAATAACGTTCAGAGTGTCTTTTGGCAAACAACGTCCTCATTTTATTTGTGCTGATTCTATTAGGGTTTAAAAAGCTATTAATCATGTTATTAATAGAAATGGTAGTGTTCATTGCTATAAATACTTTCATTTTTGCTTTAAACAGAAACCAATTCTTCATCGAAGAAGGAGAGTTCGAAAGCGTAAACACCACAATAGTAGTGTAGTCACAGAAACGATTTCTGAGACTACAGAGGTATTAGATGAACCTTTTGAAGATTCTGACTCTGAGAGGCCAATGCCAAGATTAGAACCTACTTTTGAAATTGATGAAGAAGAGGAGGAAGAGGATGAAAGTGAACTCTTCTCTCGAGGATACTTTCGTTTGTCCTCCCAAGATGTTCTCAGGTGTCGATCTTCTTCTAAGAGGAAATCTAAAGATGAAGACGATGATGAAGAGTCAGATGATGTTGATGGTATGTTTTACAAAACTGTTGTTTATTATAGTTTTATTGTCTTTAAAGAGAAACAACAGTGAGCTGCAAACCCTTCAACAAAAAGGCTGAAAAAGAAAAACCACTAATTAAGAAAGGACAACTTCATAATCTTCTAAAAAGTTGTATCAAGTATATTCCTTCTCATCTAATCCTCTCTCCTTTTGAAGTCCTTTTTCTAGTTTCCCCTTCCACTCAGGGCTGTCTTTGTCTCTGCAGAAACTATCTTGCCTACTAGGAAATATTTTGTCTGTTTGTTTTGTTCTGTTTGGTTTTTTTCCTTAATGCTTTATTAGCCTTTATCTGAATCTTTAATTAATGGGTAGATTAGATTTAGCATCAGAAAGATAATTAAAGACTGTTTATTAGACTATGCACTTCTGTATAGACTGTTTTGCTATTTGCTGTATGCTTAAAATAAGCACTCAATAAATACTTGTAAATGAATGAGTGCTAAGAAGATGGTTCTTAATAAGATCAGATTTATATAAATTTGACTTGTTTTAAATCTGAATCATCTCTCATCTATCTTACTCAACTGGCAGTAAGTTACTTAGTAAGTTAAATTTTATCACATAGCTAAAAATGCAGCTTTTACTTTTAAAGTAATCTTATTGTCCTTTCCTCTTTAGAGATAAAGAGATCTATACTCATATATGAGCTTAGTCAAAAACTAGTCTTTTGCATCCTACCTTAATGTTTTTGGCAGATATGTTGCCTACATCTGCAGTTTTTGCCTTGCAGGTTGTCAAACTCAGCTTTTTAACTTTGCTGGGTGAATTTGAAGGAATCCAGTTTCTTCCCTTGGTATATAATCCTACAGTTAAGCTTTTTAGACTCCTTTAAAAAATAAATTCACCCAACTTCAAATCTTGTAGATAATTTGTATTTTCTTCATTCTCTTAGTTTTACATAATAAATATTTTTAATGTAGCAATAAGATGATAGTTCTTTGCTTTATTGTGAATGACTTTCCAGACTTCTAGTATGTTATATTCTCAGATATATAATTAAGAAACTAAAATTTTACTTTGTAAATTTGGCATGTTACTACAATTCTATCTTGGATCAGTGCGGACTAGTAAAGTATCCCTTCCTTGTTTAAGTTCCTTTTGAATTTGACAATTTTTTTCTTACGCAGTTATTTCTCTTGTTTACTTTCAAGTATTACTGCTAACTGTACTTTTTTTTTTTTTTTTTTTTTTGCTTTCCCTTACCCTACAAGTTCCTATTCTTGCCTTTGAAAATTAGTGGGGGGCCTACCTGGTGGCGTAAGGGGTTAAGACGCAACCTATGAAGCTATCTGCAACCACTGCAGCACGAGTTCGATCCCCGGCCAGGCAGCTACCCACATGGTGCAGCAGACCTTTCCTGACTCGCCCGCTGCTCCCCTCAGCAGTGCATTTCTGTCCATCTGCCTGTTCTGTTCCTTACTCTGTCTCTGGTGAATCCTCTTACCCCACACACCTCTGGCCTCTACCTCAGTTCTTATATGCATAAATAAATCTTTAAAAATTATTAGTGGGAATGTGCATGTGCTTAATGCCACACTGAGCTATATACCTAAAAATGGTAAATTTATCTGTGTATACCTTACTACAATTTTTATTTATGCATACAAGAATTGGGGTTCAAGCCAGAGGTGTGAGGGTAAGAAGATTCACCAGAGACAGAGTGGGGAACAGAATAGACAGACTGACTGAAATACACTGCTGAAGGGAGCAGTGGGCAAGGCAGGTGGTCTGCTGTGCCGTGTGGATCAGCTCCATGGCCAGGGATCAAACTTGTGCTGCAGTGGCTGCGACAGCTTCACAGTGCTATGCTTAACCCCTTGTGCCACCAATTTTTTAAAATAGAAAAAATAAATGGTGAGAAAATGCTATAATATCAAGGTTATTTCTGATAAACCATTGTCTTTGGTGCTTTAACTTCTTCAAATCAGTATTTGTCTAGGACTAATGTATTGTAGTTATTTGCATACAAACACATTGATTATGTAGTTATTCATGTAGGATTACTTAATCATGGCCTGGAGATATTGGCTCATGAAGAAATGGCTTTGTGGAAGCTAAGCAAACAGGAAAAAATGAGTTTATTTGTAACACAGTAAAGACAACTGGTAATAAGTACCTATTATGTACATCTTACATCTTTATAAAGCTTTCATCTCCTTTTTGTAGATGATGAAGTTGAATCTTAAGAGTAATTTCCCAAAGCTGTATAGGTGGTAGTGATGAATTTGAACTGGCTTTGTTTGACTTGTGGATGGTAACAGAATATTGGCCAGGATTCTCTCATTGTTCTGTCAATTCATTGTGTGACTTTAGAAGATGTCCTTAATTAGGTTTCTCCTTTAGATTCTTAAGCTGAAGATAATCAGAAGTTTATGACAATTATTAAAATTATTTCTGTTGTACATGCTTGTCTCAGAAAAGGTCCTGCAAATTATAAGTTTTTGTAACATTTTTTAATCCCCTTTTACAGACACTCCTATTCTAAAGCCAGTATCTCTCTTGAGAAAATGCGATGTGAAGGATTCTCCACTTGAGCCAGATACATCCACACCTATGAAAAAGAAAAAAGGATGGCCCAAAGGCAAGAGCCGCAAACCAATCCACTGGAAGAAAAGACCTGGTCGCAAACCAGGATTTAAGTTGAATCGGGAAATCCTACCCATTTCTACTCAAGAGTGCATTGTTGAGCCCATTGTCCCCATTCCTAAATCCGGACGTAAACCCAAAATTCAAGAGAATGAAGAAACTGTTGAACCAAAAGAAGACTTGCCTTTGACTGAAAGGAAGGAAGAAGAGGAGATAGCTGTGGAAACAGAAGAGGTTGAAGAAGGAGAAGAAGAAGATACAACCAGCAGTGAAGTTCGAGCGACTTCTCCAGTGGATAGCAGCAATAGTCCCGAGACTGAAACAAAAGAGCCTGAGGTGGAAGAGGAAGAAGAGAAACCTCGTGTCTTAGAAGAGCAGAGGCAATCAGAGGAAGAACAACAAGAACTGGAAGAACAAGAGCAAGAGGAAGAGGATGAAGTGGCAGTAGAGACAAACCATAATGAAGACCATGATGCAGATGATGAAGATGATGGTCATCTGGAATCCACAAAGCAAAAAGAGTTAGAGGAGCAGCCCATTAGAGAAAATGTCAAGGAGGAGTCTGGTGGCCAGGAGTCTTTTTTAGATACTAATATGCAGAGCAGTAGGGAGAATATAAAGGATAAAGATGAAACGGAACCAGATTCTGAAGATGAACAGACTTCCCATGAGACATCTGTGGTATCAGAGAATATGCCAGGGTCTGAGGATGATCATGAAGAAGATTCAAACTCTAAAGAAGAATTAATTGAGTTAAAAGAGGAAGAAGAGATTCCTCATAGTGAACTGGACCTGGAAACTGTACAAGCAGTGCAGTCTTTGACCCAAGAAGAAAGCAATGAGCATGAGGGAGCCTACCAGGACTGTGAAGAAACTCTTGCAGCTTGTCAGACCCTGCAGAGTTACACCCAGGCTGATGAAGACCCTCAGATGTCAATGGTTGAAGACTGCCATGCTTCAGAACATAATAGCCCACTCTCTTCTGTTCAGTCTCATCCCAGCCAGTCAGTCCGTTCTGTCAGCAGCCCCAACGTGCCTGCCCTTGAAAGTGGTTATACCCAGATCAGCCCGGAACAAGGATCCCTGTCCGCACCCTCTATGCAGAACATGGAGACCAGCCCCATGATGGATGTGCCTTCCGTATCAGACCATTCTCAGCAGGTGGTGGACAGTGGCTTTAGTGATCTGGGCAGCATTGAGAGCACC